CTCCATCCTACACCCTGCTGTGCCCCAGCTGGGCAGCACCAGCCCCAGCCTCCCTCCCTCCCTCCCTCCCTCACCGTGGGGGCCTTGATCTACCCCCATCACACCCCTTCCCTCTCCCCTCCCTGTCCACCACAACAGACTTACCAGCTGCACACAGCTCTCCACACTGCTGGGTTGTGCTCCTCGCCACCTATGTGCTGCGCAGTGGCTGCATGCATGGATGGGCATTTATCTGCCAAATTATTGGCCACATCAGGCCGATTTCTGATACACTCAATTTTCTTTATATCAGTGCCAATCTGATTTTGGGCTGATGTATCAGTGCACCTCTAATAACAGTGGTACAAGTATGCTTCCTTGGGAGTGGCCATTAATCTCCATCTGCTTCACCTCTGTCTGCTTCACTTCCCATCCAGTTTAACAAAAAAAGTCTGTTTTCATCCAGGGTTCATACCAGCTCTGTCAGATGTAGATCTTTTGTCATTTCCAGGGTCTTGTGGAGGAGTTATTGGTGATTAACTGTATAATAGGCAGCTGCTAGGCTGATGAACACAGCTCTGATGATTTGGCCTCTTTCAAAACCATCCTTTATTGAAAACTGTCTACTGAGAAGCACCTAGAGGAGAACATCACCAGGGAGAGCCAGCATAGATTCACTAAAGGTCATGCCTAATCAACTTTATTTCCTTCTACGATAAGGTGACCGGCAGGTTCTGTGTACGGGGGAGAGCACTGGAAGTGATTTGCCATGACTTTAGCAAGGCTTTTGACATTCTCCCACAACATTCTCATTAACAAGCTAAGGAAATACAGACTAGATAAAAATACTATAAGGTGGATACATAACTGGTTGGATCATTATACTCAGTGATTAGTCCTCAATGGCTCAATGTCTAGTTGGAAGGAGGTATCAAGTGGGGTTAGAATATAAGAAGTGACATACTTGGTCAGACCAATGCTCCACCTAGCCCAGTATCCCATCTCTGACAGTGACAGAAGTGGATACCATAGAGGGAGAACATTAAACTGGATCTCTCTGGAATGACCTACCCCCTTTTCAATAGCCTCCCCAGCATACACCATTTACTGAGGAATGCTAGAGAAAACATCTCTGACCATTCTGTTCATTAATAGATCTATCATCCATGAATTTATTCAGCCCCCTATATAATCTCAATGGATTAGACCTTTCTTTCTGTAGAAAGGTTGATAGTTCCTTCCTTTATCATGAAGAAACTGTCTGCAGTTAAAGTGTAGCATTGATTTGAATACTATCTTGGTTTTGCTTAAAAATTGACATTTAACCTTGCTGAAATATTATTTGCTAGAGCAATAATTTACCAAGGTACCAAATATTTCCTGGGAATAGTTGCCCTCCTCTTCACCTCAGGTCTAATACTAAGACATGTTGTCTATAGTACTGGTCCTGTCTCCTCTAACCTGAGAACAGTGTGGTAAAAAATTGTGGCACTTCTGTGGGTGGTGCATTTGCAGGGAACTTCTAGAGAAATATAGCTGTGACCCATTGGTCTGTCAGTTATAAATTGCCTACATTCCATAAATATTTGTGTAATACCATAAGGTTATTGGCTTACAAGGGTATATTAAGTAGCATAAACAAACCCTTTTTTAAGCTTTTCAGCTTTGTCATGGTAGTGCATGGTGTTCTAAAAGAGATGGGAGTATATTAGAGGTTTTCTTTTACCTAATCTGGATAGTATGTGAAGGAAGAAAGGGAGAGGTTGGTTGTTTCCTTCCTGCCCACCCCCAGGGTCTTTCCAAATTTGGGACAGGGGCTGCTTAGTCAAAGAAGACATTTTTCAGCTAGACATTTTTCCTTCTGGCAGAAAATGAGGGTGTTGTAAAGACTTTCAGTTTCTTAACCTTGGAGCAATGACCAAGTGGTGCTATGGATATTAGAAAACTAAAATTTATTGTCATGTACCTTGATAGATGATAATGGTTACATTCAGGAACATACTGCAGCTAGTGATTTGTGATGCATTATTAAACCCCAATCTTAACAATGAACAATATCTACTATATTTCAGTACAAGACTAACTGTTTATCCAGTGGGATTGTAGCTGACTGTACACAGTTACATTTTTCCTATGAAAAGACAAGGCACCCAAGTGCTGAAGCTTTTTCTTTGCCTGGTGGTTCTCAAAAGCACTGATCAGGACGTGCCCCATCTTAACACCAGTGGCCTTGGGCAAAACTGGGATAATGCTAAAGTTCCAAATTGTTGCTTTCATGGTAACTCTTAGTAGGTGCAAGCTGAATTGGAGCTTCATATTCATCACTGAAGCAAATAGCTCCAGACCTCAGTGGATAAAATAGCCCTGCTAGGAGTAAGCAGAGCCTACAGAGGGGCTCATCAGCAAAGAAAGGTGTATCCTGGTAATGGAGAGGTGTGTTGCACAGTAAGAGCTGACACGAATCAAGCTAAGACAAATGTTACAAAGGAAATGACAGCAAAGAGCTAAAGACCCTTCAGTCATACAAGCAACAGGAGAAACGGGACCACAATGCAGCGAGGATGGGATAGAGGTGAAAGATGATCTAGGGAAAACCCAAGAGCTAAGTAGGTGTTTTACCTCTGTGCTCAGTGCTGATGCTGATGTGAATGCTGGGGGCAAAGGTAGGATGGGCAACAGGGATGAAGGCTCAGATGTTGAAATAGCCAAAACCAGCTGATCAATCTGAGGTTGACTGACCCCACTACTCTGGGCTCAGTCAGACTCCAGAATGGTTGGGTCTGACCTGACAATCCCAGAGTCAGTTGGACCAACCTGATCACACCAAAATCAGTCAGTCAGGCAGACTCAACCACCATGGAGTTGGTTGGGCCAACCCAAACACCCTGGAGTCAGTTGGACTGTCAGTTGGACCCTGGTGTCATTCAGGATGACTTGAGATGAAAAAAAGGAAAAAGCTAAAGCAGGAGGAGCTAGAAGCTTCTCCAGTGAGGACCTTCTTCCAGTGACCAGCTCTCAGTCCCCTCCTGGACACACTCTGCATAGCCCAATGACCCAGGGTTCAGAGGACCAGATCCCAACCCTGGACACAGCCAGCTCAGAGGCAGGGCAGCTGGGGAGGGGCTACATATAACACAGACCAGGGAGGTTTTGCCACGTGCTGAGATGCGGCCTCCTCTAGAATAGGATGCACTGGGAAAAGCCACACAGTGATTTTGCAGGGGGAGGGCTCACCCAGCACCAAGATGCTGCCAGCTCGGGGATGGGGCAACTGAGGATTGGCTGCCTATAATGTCAAACAGGGATGAGATTGCAATAGAATTGCAATACCCAATATCATTACAATCCATGAGTGCAATACCCAACGAGAGTTGGCTAAGATGTATCCAACTCTCAAGTGCAGTGGTGGGAGTGTGTGTGAACATAAGACTGTATGGGGAGGGCTTCTCTTGTTCCAAAATGCAGCCAGCTCTGGAGTGAAGCAGCTGAGAATAAATAAAATGATGCAGGTGTGGAGGAAATATAGGGGGACAATGAGGCTGGCTGGGCCAAATGGACTGTGCTGCTCTGCAAGGATGAGTAATGTGCACTCTGGGACAGATCATCTGTATATAGTGATCCATGAGCCTTATTAGAATGTGCATGGATGGCAATGGTCATCCCTACAGGGAAGGGTCCTGGCTAGGCTGGCATCAAGTGAGACCTGTTTATATAGATGTACAACAACTGTGACCAGTCCTTTGTAACAAATCAATGTCTGAAGCACCTGCAAGTGATATATTTTTTATAATACATGATGTATATGTAGTTGTCACAGTTTTATCATGTGTATAAGTCTATATTACAAATCATATATCTACCACCAATGTAGATATTGCCAATTATACCTCTCCTGGTAAGGTGTGTACCTGTTATTTGTAAGATCTTGATTGGCAATAGACATGCTATCTGTAATGTCCGATGTACAAGGCTGTGAGAAATGGGCTGGGATAGGACAGCTCCAGGAAGTGCCCACGTGGAAGGAAGAATGGGGCGGGGAGGGGAGGGGTCTGTGCAACCAAGACCAGCAGGGCCCCTCCAGCCCATAGTGCTGGGGCAGTCTCTGGACCAGATGGTGGGTACTGTCGATCCTCCTGGATCATGGTGTATGCATGAGAGCCACCCAGACCTTGAATGCATATGCTTGGACAGGAATTTTTGGAGCAGTGCAGGCTGCCCAGACCTACCACCCTCCCTTTAGGCCGCTGAGACAGAATCCAAAGACCAGACTGAGTCCACATATTTGGTGCTTCCATGGCAGTAGTTGTAGAAGTGTCTGGGAATCGAACCCAGGTGTAGACAAACCACTGAACCACAAGCGACTCCTTCGGGACCAGATCCTGGGCTAGTCATAATCATAATCGGCCCCCATGCATCACCCAATGATGCATCCAGGCATCATCCCTTGCAGCTGAGGACGCTTCGTCTTCCACGACTGCCTTGTGTGTGGCTGCATCTACACAAGTGGCCGAGTGCACCGCTGTTACTGCGCCGTCCTTTAGTACTTGCAAATGACAGCGGTAACCGGCGTTACTGCGCAGTCCCGTCGCCACACGGTTCTCTTCGGCTGCTCCTGCAGCGCGGAGCTGCTGCGCTGTAGCACGTTACCGCCGCGCAGTAGCGTCGCCGTCACGTCGCGTCTCGCGTGCACGCACGCAAAGACGGCTGACCAGGCCGCTCCGGGATGGAGGGCACGTGTGTCCGCCCCGATCCCCTTTGCCACCGGCTGTTGCCCGCGTTGTCTCCCCTTGCCCCCACGAGATCGCTGCAGCGCGCGGGGCGGTGCCGGGCCGCGGGCTCCAGCAGTTGGCGTCCATGTGTTTTTTCGAGCGGTCCTTGAAGCGCCTCGCTGAGCGACCATAGAGTCACGGTCCTCCAGGGCCACCAGAGAG